TTAGAATCATTGAATCATAATAACTTTCATATCAATCAGTTTATTGCTATTACTAAAGCAGCGTCTATAGGCGATGACGGTTTTTGGGAGATAGCTTGCTTGATACCTTGTTATCATTACTTTTACCATTATTGCTTATCTTTCTTTCTCCAAGGATTTAAAAGGCCACATGTTTCGAATTAGTTGCGAGGTTTGTTGCAAGGTTTTTCATACGTTTATACACAACATTCATAGTAAATTATTCTTTTTTGGCTCTTGAATGCAGTATCGAGCCTAATGCTAAATGGACAATGGCATTTTATGCGTTGTAAATTTCGTAGTTGGGATAATAGAGTTAATAATAGTTAATATTTAACAATGCACTGTCATTTTAATTAAAAATGGCTCGAAAAAATATATATTATGCTAAATTTAAATAAAAAAAATTTATATTACATGTTATGGATTAATATTACATAAAAAAAAAAAGGACTGGTGGACAGTTTTCATTTAATGAATAACAATTATATTATCATATTCTATTTTATAAACGAATGCAAAAAAAAAAAAAATAATAATAAAAAAAATAAATATATAAACATGCAAAAAAATTGTTCGGATTTTTGAATAAAATATAATCTTTGAACTTTTAAATTTTTTTAAAAATGAACGATCAAATAAATAATCTTTTTCCTTCAAACTATCCACAAACTCATTCTTCTTTTTCTTCTTCTAATAATAATATTAATAATAATATTAATTAATAATGGTGATGGTAATGATAATAGTAGCAATTATATCATGCCTGATATTGACACTTTTGATGGAATTTCTCGAATTGCTAGTCTAAACGGGCCTCTTAAATTTTTTTCAACGCCTTCTCAACCTTTACTTCCAACACAACCCCAATTTTCGCATGAAATGCAATCTCAACATTTACCCAAACTTCTTGGGCTACAACAATCTCAACCTTTTCCTACATCACATTCTCATATTACACAACAATTAACAGAACTTGCAGTTCCGAATCCTCAACTAGTCCACAGGTCATACTTGATGGATCATAACACAATAAATCGTCATCATCACCATCACCAACACCATCTCCTTCTTCAATCAGACAATCAGCCACAATTTAATTCAAGACTTCCCAACAACAATCGTAATAATGCATCTGGTGGACATCTTGATCACGTGGTCCTAACTTTAAATGATATTAATAAAAATATTTCAGAGATTTTGAATGATTTTGGTATTTTGGCTGGACGTTTCAACAATGAAATTCAAAGTATAAATGCTATTGGTAGAAATCTCTCGGATATTTTTAATAATAATAATGATAATAATAATAGTAGTAGTAGTAGTAATAATAATAATAATAATAATAATAATTAATCATTTATTTCTAATTAATTAACTATTTTCCTATTTTTCCTATGTAAAAATATGACGTGAATATGATTTATACATATAGTCACATTGTATAGACTAATATATGGTCATGTAAACAATACCTTTCTATAAGCATATTTGTTCGTAATCACAGCTTTAGATAGTATGACTATAATATATATTAATAAAACATCTTCCAGATTTTCACGTGTAACGCATCGTTATGTATTATTTGAGTTGGCATGATTATGTAAAGGGACGGGATGGAATTGATTTTTTAGTTGCTAAAAACATCGGAATTTCTAATAATGACTAACCGAAAGAAATTGAGAAAATATGGTATTGTAAGTTAAACGTTAGACTCAAGTATCAAAGAATGGCAAAGGCTGCAAAAGAAAAAAATATCTGGAGTATGGATATACATATATATTCAGCTTTTATAAATAAGTACAAACACGGAAAATGAAAAATAATCCAGTACTAAGAAAATCAAGCTGTGCTATAGACATGCTGTTTTCAAAGATATAGGTATGAAAAGATAGTAGATTAGAAATATAGTGAGGTTTTTTATTTATGGTGAAACCATAATCTATTTTCAAAACATGCCATGAACCAAATATAAGGTAGAGCAAAATTATATATAGTTATTTTCAGCACTAGACCGTTTCTGTATTTTTAAGATACGGAAAAGTGTAATTTCTCGTGTCTATTCCATACGAATATTTTTTATACACATGGTTTACTATTCTGAATTCCGTATGTTTAAAACATATTATTAAGTACCTTTTCTGTATGTTATTTTCATAGGGAGTGATCTTTGAAAGAAGAAATGTCCTAACTTTTTTAAAATAACTTTGTAATTTCATAGATTGAAGCTCAAACTTTATCATAGCAGAAATTTTTTTCAAAATATTGATTATTGTTGAGTTCAATTCATTTTTACAAAGTTTTTATTACGTGAGGAATTTGGCTGCAAAATTCTTCCAAAGAGGTAAAAAATAAAATTCACTTCAAATTGCTTGATTTTGTTTTTTTCCCATTGGTTCCTATCAAAGCAAATAACTAAAACCTCAGAGTTTTATACCACTCTCATAACCACATGGACAATCAAACTCTATTGTTTAATTTCAGGCCACAAAAGTGTTTTATTAAACAGAAAAAAATTAGTTTATTATGAAAATATTTATTACAAAAATGAATTATTTGTAAAAAAAATAATTTTATATTAACTTTTCTGCCTTTACTCTAAGCAAAGATCTGAATTATTAATATAGAATTAATTGATTAATTAATTAATTAATTCCACTTGGTCGAGAAGCATTTGTGATAAAAATTTTTCTTGTTTCACTAATTAATTAATTTTTATTTGATTTACTTCAAATAATATGGAAGAAAAACGAAAAATTTGTTTACGAGAAAAACAAAAAAGATCTGCATGGTTTTAAGCTTCATGATGATTCTATTGCATTTCTCACGTTAGCTTGTGTGGCTTTGACATTTACGCCTAATAATTTTCCGATTCATGTGATAATTCATGCATGATTTTAAAATAGGTTAATTTATCTTTTTAAAAAAACCAACCCATTTACGGAAGCATAGTGGAAATTTGAAATGTTACATTAATTTTTTATATTGTGCAACGTAGTTTTACAATGCACAGCAATAAAACGTAAGTGATAAACTGGATTTGAATTGGATCTGAACTTTGATCTCCAATTTAGAGAGGTAACAATTATATACTGACGAAGTTTCAGAAGCAATGAGTTCTCTACAATATTTCGTGTAACAACAAACTTCCACTATTAGCTAAAAAAATAATTACATTTTATCAAAAAAGAAAATTATTCTCCATGATATGTATGATATACTTTCGCGCATGTGAATTAAAAATTTCGAATTCACTAATACTAATACTAATGTTTGTATTCTTTTGTTGATATCTACAAATAGTTTTATTTATATAAACAAATTTCTCTTTTATAATAAGAAAATATTTATGTAAATAAACAGCAAACAGAAATAATAATAATAAACAGAAATAATTAATAAAAAAAAAGAACAATTTTGATTATAGAGTTCACACACAGCCATAATCAATTGCAAAAAAATTTATTGTGGATTACGAGGAAGAAAAGATATTTTTGAGTGAAGCTTTTTTTTATATTATTGAACAATCAAGCATCTTACAACAATATCACATGATTGGATCCTCACTGCTTTAGATACAAAATTCACGCCTTTTGTTAATAAAAATTCCTTAAGGATGAAATATTATTTTAACAATTAGCATTAATATGATTTTAATGTAATTTTTAATTGCAGTAAGTAGAAGTGGTGCGCTATTCTCCCAAAAAAGGTCACTGGTACATTACGATTTATATTTTTACACTCATTCAAAGCACCTTTTCAACATTTTATTTGAGAAAAACTAAATTTCAGGATGCTCAAGTTTTCTAAGGAACTTGCTCTACTCAATGTTAGATATTCTTGACCTTCGGCAAAGATGTTCTCATCAATAGAGATGGTTATATGAGGTAAGGCCAAACCTTGTGTTATATGAACAGTCAATGAGAAAGTATTTGGAGCAGGAATATTGTTTCCTGGAAGCTCTTTTTCCATCAATTTCAAAATATCTTGTTTCCTTTTTGACTATTTACCTTGACTATGCTGTTGAATGTTGGAAAGATGACCCCACCAGCTTTTTCACTAGAGATATTTTCATTAAATATTTTATTGTTCAGGAATATCACATTTTGCACCTTCTTTTAGATGGACTTTTTAGGCAAGTTTAAAACTAATACTTTAAAATTCAACATGTCTTGTGATGTTGAAATGATGGGTTCACCACATGTCTGATCAAATGGCAGAGATTCACAGAATAACTTGTTGATCTCATTTGCAGCTTCACATGTTTCAACAATGTGTGTGGTATTGTAACAATATTCCTGCATCAATTTTAGCTAAGTCATTTATTGATTTCAGATAATTTACCAACTCGTATTTCTTGTAAAACTCACTCGAATCGTTTTGTTGTCTTGTAGTTTTGTAGGAACAATTGTGATTGGACATTACTAAAATGAAATTTTTTTTTGGAATAGAATTAGATGAATAGAATTTTATTGATCAATTACTTCTCATATAATAATAACACACACAATGAATATTCGAAATTCTTTTTTTGAATTAAAATACTTTTTTTTAGGATAGTAATAGAATTAGATGTGCGGGATTTTGTACGTAAAGAAATTTTTAATTTATATAATATGATATATGTATATGATTTATTTATATCAAATCGGATTTTGATTTAGTCAGGTTCCTTTTTCCTCACTCACGATCAAAGGAAACAAAGAAAAATCTCATCAGTCAAACTTTATTAATTAATTAAAAAAGATATTTTCATCACTCATTATATGTGTATAGTACAACGTAATAACATTGTATATATTAATATATGGCACGGTCAAATTTAGTTTATATATTTCAATATTAATTGAAAAATCCATAAAATTTGAATAAGGAAGTTGCAGATATAGATGAATATGAAGATGATAATTGAGGAAAGTAGTAGCAGTAGTAGTATTATGTTTTAAATGATTTTTAAAAACGCCTGTATTTTTCCATCTCTAAATATGAGAAATATGAGAATTATTACTGCTGACATTGCCGATAATTTTGGCATGTATTCTCAAACTGCCAATTTCAAACACAAGTTCAAAACGATAATACCATGGGTTTATTATCTCAATATCCAATTGGACCTCAATTATTTCTACCCACATTACCACATCGGTAACAGGATATTCAATCATTCAATACATTCTCAAATTTTTTTCAAATGCAAATTATATGATTTTGTGTATTCAAGAAAACATTCAGTTATATCACCATTATTGAAGAGTTGTTGAAACGTGTAAAAACAGAAAAATGATATCATGGGAAGCATTGATGATTTTAATAGAAATTTGAATAATAATTGTAGTAGTAATAATAATAATAGCTTTTAATAAGAAAGCAAAGATTTTTGTTTTTACGTTAGTTAACCAGTGTAATTTTTGCAACGGGTAGTAAGGTTTTTGCTTTGGTTTTTGTTAAAGGTTTTTTGTTTAACTTTTTGTAAAAGGGTACAGTAGTTATCACATTCTGTTGTATTGTGTTAAAGTGATTGTTGTAAACGTACGGCTGACTTCAATCGGCCAAAGAAAAGTCATTTTTATTGTAATTCGTACCTTACAGATTCGCCGAAGCTTCTTAGGTACCAGTAGAATAATTGAAATAAATGTGTAAAATAAAATAATTGACGAGCATTATATATATAAAAGCTTGCAATTAATCGACGAGCGTGGTTAAAAAGCTAACTCAAAATTCGGCCATAAATGTAAAATAATCGAGGCTGACCAAAAGCACTAGCCAATCAAAACAATGTTGGAAACTTGCTTTTATGATATCTCCACGACACAAGAGGATATCTATTTCTTCTTTTAGGACGTATACTTGATACTAAAGGTTAAAAATGGATTAATAATAATAACAATAATAATTAGAGATGTGCCATTCATAGTAACCCTGATTTTTTTTACGCATATAGTGTAGGGAATGAATATTATAAATACGCGATAATAATAATAAAAAAGCAAATAGCATGTATAATTTTTTTTTAGAAATATTTATTAATAAATAAATGTTTGTAAAAAACACGGCTAAGACCTTATGCGTAGCGTAACACACCATATGCGGTACATCACTAACAATAATATTTCCGTTAAAAACAAAGAGATAAATATTTCCACAAGATTAATCACCGATTATCTAATTATCCAATCTTTGAATATTAATAATGATAATATAAAAAGAGAAGAGATAAAAATACTTCTAGTACATATGATTAATCGTCGATTATCCAATCGTTGAATATTTCAATAATCGCCAATGAAATTTCTATTCGACGAATTTTATTCAGGGTAAGACCATTAATATATTTTATTCATTCAATTACGAAATCAACAAAGATAAGTTCTATAAGATCATATTACCAATATGTTCCTCAATTAAACATAAGATAAAATGTTTCAGTTTTCATAGCGCATTAGTATGTTATCCTAAATCTAATATCACCTTTGAATACTTATCAAAGATGGAAAAAAATATTATTGAAAAAAATAAATGAAAAATAAAAATAATTATATCAAGTATGCAAACATGTATATATATATATTTACATTCATTATAATATTTTTTTTTGTATTACTCATCTGATGTAAACATTTATGCAAATTCAAAATAATAATGACGGATTATTTTTTCGATTGTCAACAG